TCGTCAACAATTGCCAATTTCATTAAAAGGTCTACCCTCTAAGAGTACATTTACCTCAAGTGTGAAATACTCTATTGGAAGGTTTGTCTGCCCCTGTCCAATCTTTTCGTTGTAGATCAAAAATGCGATATCTTAAGCCCATTCTGTCCCTACATTCGGGTACTCACACCATTTGGTTTGACAACTGACGTTTCACTTACCGTAACCTTTTTTATGTTAGAATAGATTTTCACGCGAGGTTTCAATTTTTTTGAAGTTCGTCCAAAACGGTCAGAAATTTTATTACTTTTGGGTATAAATAAAGCAGTAGAGTGACCTACGATTATTTTTCAGAAACATTTTACGACTTTTTTCGAGTTTTTTTCCGATTTCTTCAAGGCGCCGGGTCCAGAACAATTACTTATTTTACTTGTAGGCAAATGGCCCAGCATTGTAAGGCAATGGCAACCAGTTGGGGAGGGCACCAGTGCACCTGAATTTTTCAGAGCACTTAAATCAATATTCATGTCCGCGCACAAGGTGCCGTTCACCGTAGAGACACTCGTTATCTATAAACTCAAAGGACACCAGGAGATACGATTGAACCGGCCAGAGAGCTACATAACGTGGGCGACATCGGTGATAGATGGTGCCAGCCCGAGACTGCGAAGGGACAACATGATCACGGTGAATCGTGTGCTGTGACCAGTCCGTTTCCCGTTGCTATCGGTGAAGAACGTCTTTGTAAAACTATCTGGTAATTCAAGATCTGGACCAGGTTTTCACGCAACCTGCCGACGTACGACTCTCCAATGTCACCACAGTCCAAGGGCTTTTCACGGTCCGCCGATTGATATTCGACATGCCAACGGCCCGTGGCAACTTCCAGTGCGTGATGGGGTTGTTGACAAGCGTGTCTGAAGTGGCGGTGCTCGACAACGTAGTAGTCGCAGGGTAGGTAAGATAGGAGCATGATGGGCGCCTGAGGGAAGTGCTTGACAGTCTGGAAATTGAGTTACAGTTAAAAAAGCAACAGCGCTGCTCTTTCTATGCTGCACCGGTGGATGCCCCAGCAATCCTAGTCTTAAGAGGAGACCATCGTTAAAACATCGGCTCCATTAGCTTGAATCCAGAGGTTTTGATCGGAGCCATCAATTTTTACAATAGATTCTTGAAACATCGAGCTTATGATGAGCCCCTGTTGATGGTTGAAACAGGTTGATAAAAAGGCGGAGTGGAAAGAGACGAATGTGTACGAGGCGAACCTAGAAATAGGAAGGGGATGCTCGCATACGACACTTCACCACGTGAGGTTGCAGCAGTTGTCACTTACAGGCGACGACCTATATGAGGACCTTATTGTGTTCAAGTAACGGACATCGTTTAGATAACCTTAAGCAGTGCTCCAAAACGACTAAACACGTTACTTCTGCCCCATACATCAGAGATTTTTTTTACTACAAATAATCAAATCACATATCGCTCAAGATGTTGCTGTAATCTCTGATACGGGGGCGGTGCAACAACCGGTACAAGTTATGTACTGGAAGTTCAGCAAGAATGAAAATGCAAATGTGCTATCACGCTTGTATCTTCCACACCAGCCAGGGGATGAATACCCAGAACTTGCAAGTAAACCTCTTCCTGAAATGATGCGGCTCCTCGCCTCTGACAAGTGGAAAGAGATCGAGTTGGCAACAGAATTGAATTGAATTAATGCCTTATTTTACGTGGCGAGACTCAGGCCATTAGGCCTGCTCTTCCGTCTGACCACGCAAATTTCGCTACGCTCCTTTCATCAACTAGCAGAGAAAGGAGGCATTTCTTGGGCGAGAAACAGGCGATTTGAATTTGGCTCAGTGCCGTCATTTAGGATTGAGGATCTTTTACATGCAAGTAAATCTACTAACATGGGGAGTACTACTAACAGAGGGAATCCAGGATCGGAATGCTCCTCTCAGGAGTACTAAGAGAGAATAGATCAATATTGACAAAACCAAAGACGACCTGTCCACCCGGCAGGGGTGCCTATATCGAGAATGGTGGACTCGAACGCGTGGGCTACAACCCCACACTTTATTTACTACTACAAGGATACATTCTCGGAATGGAGACCTAGGTCTTATGCCTTTTTTCTTACTCCCCGCGGCTGACACGCACGCTTTGGGCTATTGGCATCCGGATAGAATGCAGTTATCCCTCTCGGAAACCTCCCTATTCAATGCCTAGTTCAGGACGCCATGGTATCTCAGAGCTACTGGCTCTCCAGCCCTGTACCGGAGTCGAAACAATGCGCCGCACAAGTCCCTCTTCCATGCTCCAATTTATTGGGCTGCTGCCACGACGAAGCTAAGTGCCCCACACCTCCCTGCATACACTCTTGAGGCTATCGACGTATCGCCGGAACCTGCGCAATCTGACGGGATTCATGCTGCCCATCTGGACTTTTATATGTGGGATCCGGAGGATTCCAAAGAAGTCTTTCACCCTAAGGTCGGTGAGCCCAACTGGGGAGGTCCCTGGGCAAGCACGGCAACATAGAGCGTAGCACCGTCCACTCACTGCCTTCACCTTGAAGCCACCCAGTTACGCGGGTCCGCGTGGACATTACATCCTCCACTAAGAACCTCAGACCTTACGACCGCCTGTCCCCCACTCCCTGCGACGGTACCGGAAGGGCTGCAAGATTTCTCTGCGCGCTACAAGCAACACATTCAAGGCGCAGTGTCCACGCTCACCATGTATGGTGGCCGTGGCTGCGAAGAGAGAGATTATGACACGGGATGTCCCAGATATGTCAGGGGCTGCAACACAACTTTTTTTAACACACAGTTGTAGTAAGTAATAATTTCTGCGATGGGATTAGGGGGAATTAACACAGATTAGTAGATCAATACAATATTTGAACAAGGAACAACATCTCCATTCACAAACAGTACAATATCATTTCTTAAAGTAATATGCTTTTATTTCACAAAAAAAGCTTCCGCTTTAACAAAATAGTACATCAATAATAAAAGCACCACGTTAAGCTGAAGGCACAAAGGCTATGGACTTTATTGAGCAGTCCAACAGAGTATTTTTATTCTCCTTCAAAACTCTAAGAACATGAGAGAGACTGAAACAACAAAGATAATCTCAGATCTATTAAGTATGAATAGCTTCAAGTCATGGCTAATAACAATCTAATATAATCTTGTTCAGTAAACATAAACTTTTATGAGAAAAACAGGGGACTAAAACATGTCATAAATATGTTTCATTTCTCCCCATTTCCAGAAATGTTTTAAGTCAAACAGTTCTTCCATTCCATAAATCTGTAAATGGGGATCTTGGAAGTGGCCAGTAAATGCTGAAGAAAGCTAAACATATTGTGTCCTATTATTGATCTGTAGGTCTACAACAGGGGAAAAAAGAGCAATAAAAATGTTACTATTCTATATTCTATGGAAGAAATATTTTTTTGCAAAACAATTATTATTTATACCTTTTTACCATCGCAAACTGAGAAACTAGGCCTACTATATAATAAAATTGTTCGAACTTTTCTGGATTATAACATTTGCCAGCTAATTTGTGGTAATAACATCCCACTCTTATACAAAACAAAGTGCATGTCAGTCATTATTTCATATTCTTCCTTAAGTTCATGTAACATTAATTGCAAGTAAACATTGCAAATTATCTTTGCACATCTAGGATATTTACTCACAAACAGTCTTTTTCAGTACAAACAATGTATAAAATATTGTCATTTAATGACATATTCAATATGAACATTAAAAAACATTTTATAAAACTAATTCATGTTTTGTGCAATGTAAGTTTTTGTAAGTCTTAAAACCAACTTCATTTAACAAGGTGGATTTAATTTCTATTCATCATTATTCATACTCGGAGCAGAAGAGTAATACAATCACTTTGATGAAAACAATACAACAGCAACAGCGCGATTTTTGATCTTTTGCAATATTACTCTTACACATAATATTCCGTTTTTTTTGCAAGACCCTCATTCATTGTTATACCAATTTTTACCAATTTCTAGTTATTCATCCAATATAATGGATATCTGTCCTTCAAACTTAAACAGAAGCGGACTAATTACAGCAATGGCAATGTTCAAAGAAGAGAGCAATTAGCAGGACTAATAAAAGCAATTAGCAGGACAAAAAGTAATAATTAAATGTTTCTGAAATTGAACCGATTCGTGTCGGCACATGAAATAATATGACTGGAACTATAAGAAAAATGTAAAATGTACATAAGTGTGAATTTTTTTGAGTTTGCTTACAACAATAAGTTTTATTACATGAAAAAGGTAATAAATTATTTTAAATATATTTTACTAGGTCAAGTTATCCTCTGAATTATTGCCAACTCCTAACACAGAAAATGAGTACAATTCTGGTCACTCATAGATCACTGTGGGTCAGCTCACACCTTGAACCTGCTCAGGTAAATTAAGTTTCAACAAAAAGTATGCAATACAATTGATCCACACTTAATTTCTGACAAATTTTGTCTTTGCTCCATATAACCAATAACCCCATTCTTAACATTATCAAGACATCTGAATGTAATACTTCATGACATTAATTGTAGCAAATCCCACTATATTATGTAGGTACTATTTTTCTTCAAACATTTGAATTCAGTACTACACTTTCACTTACATATCATATTCCCTGCAGTTTTTATGTATTTTCTACATTCATTGAACAAAAATGTATATTTACCTTTTAAATCAGACATAGTTTTGACTTTACTATTCCAAATATTTTCATGCCATAACACATGGATAAATTCTGAAATGGCACTATCACAAGGAAATGTATCAGTTAATAATGGGTGATTTTCTTCTGAAAAATTATTACCTCAGTATCACAAACCACTGGAATGTCATCTTACATTCTATCACTTGCAACAAAAGTATTGCATAAAAATAATTATTACTAACCAGTTACAAATAATTATTATATAATTACAAATTAAAGTCACAAGTATAGAAATAGTCAATGTTATGGTGATTCTGCAACTTTCAATTTATACATTAATTCAAACATTTGTACTGTAATAATACTGCCCACAATTTGCTTATGATACATCTGCTTTAATTCGAAACCCTTATTGAGGAACAGCTCCCTTGCTGCATCATGGCACTCAGTAGTGACTAATTCAACATACTGATAACATTTGTCTCTACAAAAACGTAATACTTCATCAACTAATGCTGATGCTATTCCCTTTCGCTGATAGCTCTTCACAACTCCCATTCTCCTTATCCATGCAGTATCTTCATTGTTGTGGCTTCGTGTAACAGCTATTGTACCCACTATTCTCTTCCTATACGCAGACAAATCCATTTTTTGACTTTCATCACTGTTAATAATTGTAAATTGCAGTGATTGTGGATTTCTAATGTCCATTAATTTTTCATAAACTTCTGCAACCCAAAACCCAGTGTATTCAGAAGACATGTACATTCTTGGTATAGAACCCATGTCAACATTTAGTTGAACAGCTTTGAAAACATGGCTTAACCACACACAAACATACATCAATGCAATGACAACTGGAATGGAACCAAAACAAATGTTAAACGGGACACCCAAGAATATGAACATTAAGGCAGAAGTTAAGATTATAACTTGGAATGTGATCTCTCTAGTCAATCCTGAGAAAAAAGCTGTATTCACTGTCGACATTGTAGATTCCCGTATAACTTCTTGACAATTGCGCTCATCACCAGGTTTGTAATCTCTTATAACAATAAAACCAGACATTGCAGATTAATTTGGAATCTTTATAGTAGAGAAAAAAATTGGTATTTTTTAAGATCACAATTATTACAGAACTTGACAGCTGACACAGGCTCGCCGACCTCTCACGCACCTAAGAGTTTACCAAATTACCGCCCATATTGAATCTCGTGACTATATTTGGTTTCTTTTTCCGTGTCGCGTCGAGGTCTTCTCTCCACGTCTTTCTCATTTCTGCCGCTAGACATCGCATGATCGCGACCGTATCATGCAGTGCGATTTATCAATGCCATCTAAATCATTTAGGAGGTACTGGATTTATCTAGCGTCACGACCGAGACAGACGTGAAATGCCGTGAGATATTCTACCGTGAAGATAGGCCCTGACGCGTCACGTTATAAAAACAAGTATAATTGTCAGTTTAATATTATGACTCTTAAAGTCGGGTACTCGCATTTTTGGTGGCGGGGGGGGTATCCTCATTTCATCAGGAGCTTCAATGCCAAACAATAGAATTTTGGCATATTCCTCCATGGCAAACTTCTTTCCATCAATGCTTCATGCCAGACGACCTATCAATTGGTAAGGATGTCCAGCTAATGTCTGCCCAAAATAACTAGAAATAAACAACAACTATATTTAATTGAATGACATTGCCCGATTTAAATAGACTTACGACAGATCATTAGCTCGATGCGGTTATCTAATCAGAAGCTTTCTTACGTTTAAAGCTCCCGATTGGATAACTGAGATATTTAATATCAAAAGTCACTATATTAAATCAACCTACAGCGTTAGCCTCAGTGCTGCGCTCGAGCGGGTGGCATTATTATGTCAGTTCACGTGATGATAAGGCTATGGCGTACGACACTCTCGACCAACTAGATGCAAGTATTATATGTTGCGGCAATTTTGAATGTATCGTCCTTTCGGTGTATGTGGACAATGTATTTTAAGATGTGTACATCCATAATCACAAAATGTACGTTACAGGTATTTCTAAAAATTGAATACATTATAGAAATAAAAATTCAGTTCAATTTGCTTACTAAATATTATACAATTCTAATTAATTTAATAAATGAAAGTATGCGAACAATAATAACAGTAATAATTAAAGAAGGAAAAAAGAAAGAAGAATGTCGTCATGTGGTCTTGATGCCAGGGTTGGATCCATCCCTTATATCCCTCGATCATTTTTTGGGACTACAAAGTTTTTAGTAGTTTATATTGACATAGATGCATATACAAGCATAGATGCATAATGCACCTTTTTTTGTACTGCAGAATTTATGGATTAACAGTAAAGATTTTTGGTTCATTTTTAAATGTGTTTATTGAGTTTATTCTTTTAAATTTATTAGGGAGTTTGTTATATATATAGTATAATGCCTTCTAAAAGGGTAGTTTTTTGAAAGAGTGAAGTTTCACTGTGAAGGACATGCAGATTTCTTTTTTATCTAGTATCATAATTATGAACATCTGTATTCAGAGTAACAGAATCCTTGTTTCTCATGAGGGACTTCTTTGTGAAGATTAGTATTTCAAAAACATAGGCCGGGCATGCATGGGAGTGGTAGGATTTGTAATTTTTTGAACAGTAGTTTGTTCAGGACTTATGTTTGTGAGTGTTTCTCATTGTTCTCAATATTCATTTTTGGATGATGAAAGTGTGAATACTTACTAGGAAATTTCTCCAAAATATGATTCCATATTTTAGATGTGAGTGAATTGTTTGAAAAGTACACTGTTCATAGCATATCTGAGTTAGATTTTGACTGAAGGATATAGTCGGCATAACACAACTTGGTAAGCTTGTTGTTTGGATGTATAATGTAGGAGTTCCATTTTAGATCATCTTGAATAGTCAATCCAAGGAAAGTTGTTTTCTGCGCTATTTTTACAGGCATGGCAACTGTGCTGAGGGCCTTTTGTTAGAAAGTGGATTCCTAAAGTTTAGAGAGACAGTTTTAATGGTGTTTTTGATGAGTTTATTTTCATTGAACCATTTTACTATTGCCTCTAGAACTATTTGTGTTTTTTGAAAAATTCATTGGGTATTGGCTTTAATAATAATCTTCGTGGCATCTGCATAAAATACTATTTTGCTGTTTAGTAGAGCAGGGGTATGGCTTTGATGTATAAAAGAAATAGTATAGACCTTAGATCATTGTAGGCATTCTATAATTTATCATTCTAGGTTGGGAAAGTGGGTTGAAATCTTTTATCTCTAACATAGTACTTGATTGCGACTACTTGACAATGATTAGAGAGATAAGATTTACCCCAGTGATGTGCAGTGCCTATAATCTCAAAATTTTCAAGTTTTGATGACAGTATGTGATGGTCGATAATGTTGAATGCTTTTGATAGATCTGGAAACAAGCCAATGTGGTTTTCTTTCTGATCTAGAGCAACAAGAATGTCATTTAGAAATGTGAATATAGCTGTGTCTGTAGATCTACCATTTCTGATTCCATGTTGGGCCTCTGTCAATATGTTATTTCAATTGAGACTACTTTTGAGTCTAGCATTAAAAAGATTTTCTAGAATTTTTGAAACTTTGGATAGTAAGGATACTGGTTGTGGTCATGGGATCGTGAGTGTTGACTTTTTTGAATAGTGGCTTAACTTTTGCTTTTTTAACAGTTTCTTGGAAGATACCTCTCATTAAGGAGTGGTTACTAAAATGTGTGAGAGCAGTTGTATTATGTTCATTGCAGTATGTTTAGTGAGGGTGCCAAAGACATTATCCAGCTCTATAGAGAATTTGTTTTACATTTGATTCATGATCTTTAGTATTTTTGCTGGTGATGTTTCATATATGGAGTTTGTGTTCAGTGTTGTGGGGATATTTGTCTACATGTTTATATTATTTAAAGAATTGTCATGAATTAATTTTTCTCAAATTTCTGAGAAATATCTATTGCATGTGTTGGCTACTTCCTGTGGGTTGTGCAGCACATTATTTTTGTAGTGAAGTTCAATATTTTTAGTGTTTCTATTTTTAGAGTAATTTTCACACTGTTCCACATTGCTTTTGTTCTGGTTTGTTTTGTACTGTGGGGATGTGTTGATTATTCATTAACAGTTTGGCCTGTTCAATTACGTTCTTCAAAATAACTACTTTTGTATGTTTTGTAATAAGCTACACAATCAGAACTGCATTTGTGGTGAAGGAAAGTTTCAGGCACATATTGTTTTATGCATGTAGAGTTTAATTCCCATGATGTTTTGATTTCTTTTGTTATCCATGATTTGGGTTTTTATTTTCTTCAGAGTCTGTGGGAAAATAATATTGAAATAACTTTGGAATATGTTTATGAAAAATTAAATTTGGTATTTGTGTTGCTTTGTACACCACATTCGAGTTTTCTGAACTTTTATAGTTAAATTTGTCTGAGTTTTCTTGAGAGAAGTTTCTGGTTTCTCTAGAAAGTGTTTCCGTAATAACTTATGTGCCAATTTTGAGTTTGAAAATACGTGCTTAATGGTCACTAAGGCCTGTGTTGTATGTAACAATTGAATAGCTGCAATCATTTGCGGCTACTTTTTCATATAAATTCTGCTAGGTTGATTTATATAGGTTGTAGATTGAATGATTTATTAATTTTTTGAATATTTCTTTATCATTTGATCATAACAGCAAGTTCATATTGAAATCATCACATAATATAATTTTATAATTTCTGCGTCTTAAGTTTTAAAAGAACAATTTTAAGATTTTTGAAGAAAACATTCGTTTTTCCTTTGGGACTGTGGTACATAGATAAAATCCATGTTCTTTGTTTTGGTAACTCTAAGAATGATATTTCAAAGTCTTTATCTTTTAAGAGAGTGGAGTATTCTGTGATTGACATATAGTGAAAATTATTTTTACAAAGATGCATGTTCCACGATAAGCATGATATGATTTGCCTACTTGATCCACTAGCTAGGATGAAGCCTGGAATGTGTGTGCTACCTAATTCTTGCTGAGTTAACCAATGTTTACTTAAGTACAATATTGTTAAGTGTTGTAGATCTTATTCACATAATATTTCTAAATCTGTGAGCTCGTTTCATAATGATTGAACATTTCGATGAAGTACATAAAGATATTTGTATTTATGAGTTTTGGGCTTTCCTGTTAAGTGTGGTTGCTAGTGTATAAGTGAGAGGTGGTCTGCGGTTGCAATGAAAGTTGTACTTTTGATGAGGTTTTAGACTAAGGGAAGAAGTTGGAGCAGGTGTAAGAGAGACATGTGTAGCTGATGAGATAAGATCAGGAAATGCTGATAGCGGTAGGTGTGTAGGTCTACCACCTCCATGGAAGTAATGGTCTAGAATCTCCATGGTAGAGGTAGGTGGTGTTGGGATAAGTGGGGTGAAGTGGGTGGCATCAAGAATGGAAATTATGATTAGGTTAAGAAAACATTAAATTATTTACCTTAAGAGAAGAAAATAAACTCTTAACAAAATTCTAAAATTCTTTCCAATAAAATTTGAGTCACATTTTAATAAAAATATTCAAGAAAATATGTTTTAATTATCTCTATAATTTATTGATATAAATTAATTTCATAGGGACAACAATAAATGGAATTCTTGATTTCTAATAAGAAAATGCTATTTAACAAAGGTAAAGTATGTAATGATCTCTCCCATTAAAACCAACAATGTTAACGGCTGTACCATAGGATTTTCACAGAAATTGATATTTTTGATTTAACTAACTGATGTTGTGTCCTCTTGAATTTGAAGTTGTTATTTTGATTTTATGGCGTTTCTTCATATAAAGCCTCGACACTATCAGTTTTTCCCCCCAAAATGGCTCCATATTTTTGGATTTTGTTTTGTAGAATACAGCAGAACATTTGCTAATTAAAATGATGCAGGTGCAATTTTTGTTGAAATCAATACATTTTCAAAAATTGTTAAAGTTTTATTTTTTTCGTGCCATTCTACATCTACAACATTGAAGATCGAGAAATTTTCTTAATGAAATCTGTTCAAGCAAATTAATCTTTAAATAAGTGCCTGCACATTGTTTTTTCAAAATATTAGTAGTAATTTTGTGTGAAATAAGGGCAATTTTTAAAACAAGACCTTCTCCCAATTTTTATATTTTTTTCTGGAGTATTTTGGAATTCACTCGTAAAAGTGTAAAGGTCCCGATTTTCGTAGAAGAATGAAAATCTCTGTCGGAAATTGCAAGAGTTCCAAGTAATGCAATAAAGTTTTTGCTATTATAGTACCACTTGTTTTGGAAATATAATTAAAAACTTTTCTACACTTCTATTAAAAAATATCGGTTAGAAAAGCCTATTCGTTTAATCTTCGATAATGGAAAGGATATGTGAGGAAGAAAAAAAGGTGCACGATCGTTTCTCTAGTTTTTATTTCCTCACACAAATGCACAACGACTTAGGACTTGGTTGGGCGGCTCCACCGTTTTTCCGCCGCCTCCCTCCAGTCGGCTGGGTCGTCCGGGGTGGCGTCGGCGTCACCGGGGCATGGCATGTCCACGCACATGGAGATGCGGGCTTCGCCGGCGTACAACGACCCGCATCGGCAGTCTCGCAGCGTGCTCTTTGCCACGGCGGCGTCCTCCGTAACCCAGCGTAGCGCCGCTGGGTTCAGTCGGCTGTCGGGCATCCAGAGCCAGCGCCTCGCCCTGGACGGCTGCAGCCACGAGCGAAGCACGTTCTCGCTCACGTCGTTGATACGGTTGTCCTTCAGATTCACTTCCTCCAGTTTCGGCCATTGCTTGGTCTCGTACACCCATTCCCATTTCGTCAAGTTGTTTCCTTTCAGATAAACCAACTCGAGAAGCGGGAGATTAGCGAATGTTTTAGATGGTAATTCTGAAATTCCGTTTCCGTCCAGAAAAATCATGACCACTTGATGGAGACCTGCAGAAAATATTACATTTCTTCGCATTTTTCATAATAGTGGGTTATCAATTAATTGCATGTTGGTGAATCTACACGAAGAAAATATTTCAATTCACTGTCAATTAATGGAAGTTGGAGTAAATGCATTGTGTTTGTTTTGGAGACTAATTTGATTAATATTTATTATAATTTAAAGACCAGAAAAGTTCTACAAATGTTATCTCCTCAAACTCTCCCCTCATTACATTTAATTTATGTGACTTAAGAATATTCATTGGAAGTTCGAGCACAATTCAACCCATATCCCGGAGCAGTGAAAATATTACATTTCACCAAAGATGTATTACAAGTAATTAACATCTTAGATTCAATGATTGCATTCAAACATTAATTCAAGGATGTTACTGTTTATTTAAAGTACTTATAGGATTTTTTATTGAAATAACTGTATTCGTAATCTTGTGTATTATGAAATAGTTCATCTAATAAATTATTGAATTTTTGCTCAAAATCAATTTGTTTGAATAAATTGCTTTTGAGCCATCAAGTAAATGTTTAGGAAGACTTTGTCTTTGATTTATACGAGTAATATTCATATTCAAGAATTATTTTCATCGCAAAACATACTATACCAAAACGTTGTGTTTCGTACTTACACACGGAAGGTAGCATCTTAAGCACCATAAGTAGGTGGAGCGACGTTTATTGTTTAGGTGACGACAGCTTCATAATAACACCGAAAAGTGGTTGGTGTACCTGCTGAAGCTTAGAGAAACTTTCGGTTGAAAATTCCGGCTGTACTGGCACAGCGGGCGGCACTCGGGGTCAGTGTCAATGTTGCGCTGGGAGTTGCATCAGTGGCTATGGGGCAACCGAGAATACAGCGGAACGGAGAAGTGCAGTAATCGTAAGTGCAAAAAAATGATCGATCCCTTATTTCAGAGGCAGGGCTCTGTTCTGATGCGACTGAAGTCATAATGGGTGCGTACGCATGCGGTAGGTAAAAGCAGAGCAGCGGGTTGATACGCGGACATCGGCGACGACCGACACGAGACGACACGACGGCTGATGGAAGTTTCAGACTTGAATCAAATGTTAAATGAATGAATGAATTGAATTGAATTGTTGCCTTATTTTACGTGGCGAGACTCAGGCCATCAGGCCCGCTGGATATTTGTCAGGCATATATTTGTATGAATATTTGTCACTTTTCGAAGTAGATGTCATTAAAATCAGCAGTTTCAAGATTAGACAATGTTGGAGATGGAATTTCGCAGCTCCGTGTTCAGTATGTAATGATACCGAGCTTACAGATTTATAGTCAGAATTAATTGTACACTGGCTAATTGCTTCTCTTGTGCGACAAATTAAATTTTGATTCTCTCGGGCATATTTTTCATGTTCGTATTAATTTTCTGCAAATATATCTACGTGGGGTGTACTTAAGTTTTCGAACAACTGTTTTCGTTTTTGAGGAGAGTAAGATCAAGCTCATGATCACAAATTTAATTTCTTCACATTATTCAAATTGTTGTTTGAACTATGAATGGGGTAATTAAAATGATTTATTAATAAAATTTATATTTACTATTTCTATTTTTGATATAGGTTTTTCCGATGTATTCAATAAGCGAATTGAAAACTTGCGTTTTAAATACATTTTTGATATAATTAATCTATACAGTACATTAATTAAACCAGTTTGAATATCCATTCTTCTTCTGTTCCTTGCCGTTCATCTATCGACCTGCCAGCGACATTTCCGATCGCAACCTTGCTTGCCCACTGCAGCTGAGATTTCGCGTGCCGTGCCCGTTGGGACTACGGTGGAAAACGTGTGGCTGAGCGGGCAAGCAATAGCCCACCCCTGCCGAAATGCAAACAGCTCAGTCCGAACCCGTGAGCAGGTTGGTAGGGCTTTGCTCGAAGGCTCGTCTTGTTCTATGCACATTTGAATAATCTCCATATCATTACTCGCCGGTGCAAGGGCTGCGGAATGGCGACCTTCCTCGCCGGATGACGTATCGTGAGTGGTTGCTGCCCAGCAACGCAAACGAAGGCGACTTCATTACACGCGCGTTTTGGACTGAGGCCGTGGGTACACGGGACGGAACCTTCAACACGCACCAATGGGTGAGCACACGAAAATCCGCACGACACACGACAGTACCAGCACCAAATTCGTTTGACCAGGATTCTAGGCGATCACATCGCCGGTCCGAATGTACTCGTACTACCCGATGCCTCGATGTGGCCACGTACCAAATTTCCTACCGAATGTTCTCTTATATCTCCTAAAAGACGCGTCCTTTGCGCTCAGCAGTGGGATGTGGACACAACACGACAGCACACTGCCGTGACGACGTGCGCGTTCAAACCGACGCGCTCTCTGTCCGTTGGATTATCCGCAGCGACACTGCTGCCAGCACGCAACTATCGCCCGACTTGAAGCCTCTGTATTTGTCGTTCTGGGACTACGTCAAGGGTATACATCGATTTAAATAGTGACGTCTGACAGATAAACTGTGATACGATTATCCAAAGGGAAGCTTCAATACCAAAAATGTAAGTCGTAACGAAGCACCCGATTGGATAACCGTGTCCAACGGATGATCTGGCAGGAGTCACTTTATTTAAACTTGCAGTATATATGAATGCGAACCCGCCAAAAAAAGAAGTTTGCGCAGAATGTGGCCGTTCTCGTCTCCGAAAAAAATTGTGAAGTGATGGAGTGTTCCGGTGTGCCCTATTGCAATAAGGGCAGTGGATATTTCGGGCTTGTGGTCTAACAACTGTATTTGCGACAATTAGTGTACTTAGTCAACAACAAAAATTATGTGGTACGTCTTTGGTTTTGGTTTTCCACGACCTTCGACTTCCGATTTGCAACGCTGTTCTCTGTTATGTCGCTTGTTTCAGGCGTATCATCTGTTCAGTGCCGCCGCACCTAGTACAACCTTCATCATAAGAAAAAAAAACAATAGTTCCGTTGTCGCGTGGCGCGAAACCAAGTACGATTGTCATACAACGACATACAAACCATGCGTTTGTCAACAATTGTTCACTGCACAATTTTTTTTAAATGACATTCATTTTACTGGACGATTAATATTACCCTTTCGCGAACTACCCTTACTCGATTTTATTCGGTAAATTACAAGGTACACAATTTCCACTATTTTTACTCCTAATACAGCGCGTCACAGTTTGCAGTAATGGTTTCTACGCCTTCCGATCATTGTGGTACCACCCGTGTGCGAGTATAGTGACACAACCTGAAGAACATTTTCAGCTGTTGTGTAATATTTCCAGTGCTCGGCGACACAGATTAATATTATTCGATCAACAGTTTGCTTCTTTAATATTTTTAATATTTTTAAAATTTTAGATGGAGGGTATGCGGAAAAGATCCCATTCTTGGTTTTGTTATTATTTTTGCATCTCGTTGTACTCTCTGCTGCAATAATGACTTACTCAGCAGCGATTGATATTCAAGAAAAACAAACTAGTATTACCTGTAAATAAGTCTTCTGGAATTTTGTTTATCTCATTTTCAGATGAATGGAGAACTCGAAGGGATGGTGCACCTCTTAACAAGGCATTACTAAGAGATTTGATTCGGTTATGATGCACAACTAGATCTGTCAAATTATGCAGTCCCTTAAGAAGATTATCGGGTAACTCTTCCAACAAGTTGTTGCATAAAAAAATTGTTTTCAGGGAATTCAACCCAGTGAAAGTATCTTCTGGTATTGACGATATATTGTTGAACCCAAGAAGCAAGTTTTCCAGATGTATCATTCCGCGGAACATATCCGAGTGTAAATCCTTTAAATGGATACCTTGTAGATTAAGCGTCTCTAGTTTCGAAAGCCCTCTAATAATAAATGATCCCGGCTGATCACCTTCCAAAGTATGCAATGGATTGCCGTATAAAAGGAGAGTAGTGAGATTCGATAAATGGGAGAACAAGTTGCTCGGAATAGAAGATACATTATTCATGCCTAAGTCAAGGTGTTCCAACCGAGTCAATCCTTTGAATGCATCTGCAGGAAGATTGGAAATAGTATTGTTTGTAAGATAAAGTTCTCGTAGTCTGTTAAGGTATATAAATGAATTTGATTCGATGGTCTTCAATTTATTGGATGATAAGTCCAGCTTTCTCAATAGAGTGAGGTTAGCAAGATCAGTTGCTGACACAGTCTCTAGCGAGCAATCACTAAGGGAGAGATTGACTAGCTGCCTTAGGTTCCAGAAGACCCCTGGAGGCAACTCAAAAATTTCGTTTCCACTCAAGTCGAGACTGGTGAGGTTTTTATGGTGGTCAAACGCTCTGTCCGGGAGCCCCGTGAATTTGAATGTGGCTAACCTGAGAGACGTTAGTGGTCGTAACAGCTTAAGAGTATCCCATGGCGGTTCCTGCAGATTGCACTCGGAGAGATCGAGATGCTTGAGAGAAGGGAGCGCCGTTAACGCAGTGGTAGGTATCTTAAGAAACGGAACCCCGTCGATTGTAAGTGTCTGGAGGCTTTTAAGCATCTGGAACTCTGATTCGGGTAAAGACGTAAAATTTGTACGTGACATCACGAGAGTTTTTAAGGATTTCAGGTTGTAGAAAAGACCTTGTGCCAACTCTTTCATATGTGTACCCGCTAGGTTTAAGTATGTCAGATTTGTAAATTTTTCTAATGCGAAATCATTAATCCATTGTATCCAGTTTTCAGAAAGGTCCAATGTCTCTATTGCGGGACAATCTGCCAAGCTGTCCGTATAGAGTAAATTGTTCCTGGATGCGTTAAGGAAACGTATAGTGCATGGCGCTGGAAATACTGGTAGTACACCCAAATGATTGCGTGAGATGTCCAAATACTGCAACAGAAGTAATTTATTTTAATTTTGAAATTCCCGAAAAACCCTTCGACTAGTATTTCGGAATCTCCCTTGGTTGGAGATTACTGTATTCCAATGACATGTAAATGAGTATTATAGACCTGATTTCTGAACTTCATCTAATATATCAAATTTCTCTGAGACAATTTATAAGAAAATAGCTATTTCTATGACAATTTCTTTAATTTTGAAGCAAAAGTCTTATTTAGGCCCTATTACACGCAACGCTATACGTATTTTATTCGTTTCGTATCATTTATTTCGCAAGTCATTCAGCGCAGGCGACTAAATCCGATTACAAAAATTGCTAGAGTTAGAGCAAATCGTGAGAGACTCAACTTGACACTAAGAGATGACGCCAGTACCTGTCTCTTTTAAGACATGATTTATATTCTGCTTCATGATCCGTGGTCTAGTGATAAATGCTTCTTTACTTTTCCTTTTTTAAATTTATTTATTTCTCTATTCAGCATTCCATGCTTTTAAGGGAGTTGAACTGGTTATAGTGTCAATTACATCGTGTTCACATTTATCTTGAGCTTCTTTAGTTAAGTTACCTTTACCTGATGATACAAGCTATTATTTATATACTTATTTATTCAAGGATTAGTACATTTATTAACAGGATTTATCTTGTTTTAAGAGAGTCTGAATGTATGTAGAATAAAACATTTTGCATTGTTCTTTATTTAAAGGATAAATAGATGTCTATAATTATCTTTAGCGAAGCGTGAATAGAAGCTTATTTTTGAATTTGCTAATTTACCAAGGTTGAAAGTGATATAACTTTTGAGACGGAGCTTCTCGTGCTTTATCAGTCGAGGACGCATATTTATGACAATTTTGGCCATTTAAGCATAAAAACGTAAATTTTGGAACAAAACGTTATTTTATCGTATTAATGAAAAATTGCATTATAAAGTAATAATTTAGGCGAGGACGTGCACATTAGCACATACATTTATAATACGAAACTGCAAAGACCTAAGATAAGGAGTAAAATCAAGATATTTTAAAAATTCATATATTTTCTTGAAATCATTGGGGACGTTTTTAATGGAATTCAGTATCTTCAATGTGGAATGCCAGAGATCAATAGTATTGAAAGAGCAGTGAAACATTAAAAATCATCTCCTCATACTTATTGATTTGCTGTCAAGTGCCAAGACTTCCAACGATTACGTCAATTAGGTCAGCCTTTTGAGTTTTATTGGTAATATTACATTAATTAATCGGTCACATGTCATGCATTTTTCTAATCTTTAAGTCACAGAAATCCGCTTCCTAGATCATTCATATTTCCTACGAACTGAAAGATACGAATTACAAAGCTACTCAGCTATGTGAAAAATGCAATCTATTAATAAAATACTGGCAGGTTAGTTTTTCCTAAAACATAACAAAAATGGTCGGTCGTTCTCCTCACGAAACAAATGTGACGCGAGTAAAAGCGTAGAACACGCACGAGGAGCCGTTGGATCTTATTAGATTGGCCTTTTGAAGTGGGAGTTACCTTTAAAAGCTGCTCAAAGCGCGCGCTATCTCTAAGTGACGAGTTGCAAAATATTCTCCATTGCTGTTGCCAATTGGCGTGCTGTGCGGGCTACTCCTTTTTGATGAGTTGCGAGATAATGATACAATTTTATACAAAACCAATTTTATTTGTATTTTTAGCTAATGCTATATTACTTTTTAAAAATATAATGTGTTCGTATTTTAAATTTGTGTTCTCATTTTCAACATTACGGAACTTTTAATTTTAATAAATACGAGTTTTTTTATTTTTAAATAGTGCCAAAGGCGGTGCAATAGTTCCAACAGAGGTCCACGGAAGTCAATAGCGTTGATGATTGTTTAACAATTGAGAAGCTCCCATGGAAATCAATTAATTAATCAAATATTTGTTTTGTTTTCTATTTGTTATTTTGTTTTCATGGACCCGCAAGAAAAGTGCAATGCCATTGACATGGAAAAGCGCAAAACATGTTTCCCCAAGGAAGCTCCTCAGTTGTGCCTACCGAAGTATTTCATTTTGAATGGGTTATTCCTCACTTGCAACTTTGTTAACGCCGTCAGATTCAGAAGCTGTCGCATCTGCGTGTTCGACGCGTCGAGTACGACGAGTTGAGAGTTCAGATTCGGCCAGAGCGGGCGATGCCCCACGTCGTTGTCCGTGAGGTTGAGGGCAGTAACGGAGGAACTCAATACTCCTCTTATCACCTGAATATTGTTGTGTGATGGTCAACGTTGGTGATCTCATGCTCACACGTATTGTCTCTGTCCATTGAGAATGTGAACTTGTATGAGGATGAGCAGTCCAAGGTGGTGTTCATACATCTGCACGGCAGCGGCGGTAACATCGCTAGCGCTGCCCCGGTGTACACAGCAGAGATGAGGATTCACGTGTACCAATGCCGGGATTGCATCTTTGCGACGTTCCGAAGTAACATTAAGAAATTTCTAAAACTGTGAAGTCACTCTGAAATAGAGATACAAGGTGAAAATTAGGACAAATTAAGATAACAATGGGATATATAAACTAGGACCTGTGCTCTTGTCTAAATTGTTTTTCTCATCAAAATTGGTTCGCAGCGTCTCCGTAAACAAATTGCCAAAACAATCCAGTAACAAACTTACCTAGACCAGTATGTATGTAATAAAACAAGTATGAATGTTGCGCGAATGAAAAAAATTACCAAGAAAGAAGTAAGAACATTACTTAGTATTAAGGGGAAAAAAGTTGAACAAGTTAGGTGGGCCAAAGTGCTTACGTAATAACTGTATAATTTGATGAAGCTAAAATTAAGTTAGTTTTAGTTCGTTATTAAGGAAATCCCCTCATCTCTTAGCTGCTTAAGCCGTAAGGCAGAAGCATAATGTAACCCAAATCACGAAAATAAATTTCCGCCTCCTCAGGGGCGTTGTAGTGGAGGGAATATAGTAAACACATTCATTCATGTAGTAGTATAATCTTGCGAAACCATTACAAATATTACGAGAAAATATGTGCTGTTTTAGCACCACTAATTTGTTGTTGTTTGCAATTTTCAAAAATATAGAGATCGCCAAAAATGGAACCACTACCAATTTCTCTACCTTACATACTCATAGAAGGAAAAAATAAAGAAGCAGTTTGAGAGAAAAGTAGCAGAATACCCGCCGTTGCCCATTTATTTCATATACAATTTGCCTAGCTCTCTTTCTCTCCGTCTCTCCATCTTTCTAACCGCCCCTCTCTGTTCCTGTCTCATTCTCTGCCATTCTCTGTCCCAGTCCCTCTCTGTGTCTCTGTCTATCTCTTGACACTCTCAATCTGTGTCTCTCTACGTTTCCGACTCTCTCTGCGTCTCTGTCTTTCTGTCTGGCTGCATCTATCTATCTCTGCCTCAGACCGCCTCTATTTGCCTCTGTCTCTGTCAGACTCTCTCTCTCTCTCTCTCTCTCTCTCTCTGTTCGCCTCTCTTTGCGTCCCTATCTCTCTCTCTCTCTCTCTCTCTCTCTCTCTCTATGTCTCTCTGCCTCTCTTTCTTACGCGCGCCATCTCTCTCTGTGTGTCTGTCTCCGTCACTCTCTGCATTCCTGCGTCGCTCTCCGTCTCTCTTCATCTCTCTTCGACTCTGTCTCCATTTCTCGGTCTTTTTTGCGCGCACCCGTCCGTTTCTCCAGGTTTTCGTCCTGCGTCAACGGCCAGCCACAATGAAGCTAGGGTGGAGCGCAATTTGAATGGAAATTGAATTAAAATGAAGCGAAGTTTTGTCCTGCAGCGCCATCTAGTGGAGTTACAACAAAGTTAACAGCTCATAAACCTTCTGGGTCAAAAAAGTGTCAACTTTCATGGAACTTTCGGTCATACGGTGTCGAAGTTCTCTGCTCTGGTATATTCAAACATCCAATTTATATATATATATATATATATATATATATATATATATATATATATATATATATATATATATTTGTTTAAAAATTGTCTTTGACTCAAAATTACTCAAGAACTACTAATATTGAGACTTGTGATACCTTTCTTTATTAAGACAAACGGTAAATATTATGATCTCCCTTACTGACTCAAGCCTATCTTCTGTTTTTGCAATCAAAACTTGATCGTCGGCTTATAATATGGAATGTGTAAAACAGTTTTCTGGAATATGAATACCACAGGAGTCATAACTTTTCCATTCACTCAACATATCATCTATATATTGTGATATATCAATTATTTAATATAAAAATTAACTGCAAAACTAACTGTCGAGGAACAGAAAGGAGATCGAGTGGGACGGACGCGCAGAGAGGCCGAACAGAAGAGCCTTTTGAGTAGCCTTGTCGAATTCCGATGGGTCGCGAGGAGGCAGACAGAGAGCAGACATGTTTATGGCACCGCTGACTAGCATGTGCGTAGCGCGAGCGCCCGGTACAAAAAAAAACGCCTCCCTCCTGCAACTGCCAATTATGACTCGAAAAGACACAATGATCGCCACTTTCAGTAATCTGTAGGACAGTCGTAACGAGTAAATGATTCAGGATTCACGACAGTGGCAGCGTGACATTCGAATATAGGCACGTGTCCGCTCGAGGGAGACGGGAGAGCGTAGTGCGACGTACTGTGACCTAATTTCCTGCGGCCCAATCCAAAATCTTGTAAAAAATAAAAAATGAAAAGTAACATACTATTGGAGTAGGAGGAGAGAAGG